GTGTGTGTGTGTGTGTGTGTGGGTGTGTGTGAGTTTGGCCAGTCTGCAGGCCTTTGGGGCTCTCGGATGAAAGTGTTTTCACAGATGACTCCAGTGAAAGGCCAAAGCCAGATGTTTTAAACCCCCTGAGATGACAGATGCGCACATCCCACCCACTCAACGCTCTCTTCAAGCCCCCGTCTTCACTGTTGTCAGAAAAATAACTTCTAGTTATTTTGTTCCTCTGTCCTGTTTGGGCGTTCAAATAACCTTTAGCACATCAGAGACCTCAAAAGATCACACCCACACCAGCAGCAAGTGCCTCAGGGTGGTCAGGAAAAGTGGGCATCATCATTTTAATGGGCAGTTTCAGAGTCTTCCTGTCTTTGTTTCAGCACTTTTAGGGGTGCAGTGGGTGTGATACCATGTCATCCTACATGAACATCCTGCTCTAGTGATTTACAAATAATGAAAACTCTTGAAAAGTTCCGGTATTAGAGTTAAAGAAGCAGTCAAGGCTCTGTTGATGGGTGGACGGTACAATACAAGAAGCTGGTGGAAATACGCTTCAAGATGTAGACACACGGTGAGAGATGCATCATCCTCACACTTTTAGTGAAGCATACGTCATCCACTCTTGAAATGACCTGGGATCAGCTGTGGAGTTAGGGGACAACGACGTGCAATTTGACAAAAAGAAAGAAAAAGTTAAAGATGTGTGTAGGTTGCCCTGTATGGTTTGGTAGAGGTCAGGTTTAGGAGTGGGTGTCAGTGTTTTGGGTTTTGCAGCTCGTCTAGAAAGTAAAAAAAAGTCAAGATTTCCAAAGACATTTATCTCAACCGTCTGCTGAGTTAGATGAGAAGGTTGATACTTTGTTCTCATCTAACTCTTGACCAAAAAGGTTTCCCAAAATACCAAACTATTCATTATTATTATAATAATAATCAGACTATTTGTTGTACGGACTAATTAAACCGTATGTGTGACGAGCTCACAGTTCTACATGGTTACATTACTATGTTTCTCCACTCATTCACTCAGGTTTGTCCTTTAGTTTGTCAGCTGTCTGTTCGTCTGATCTACATCAGACCGTCATAGTATATATCACAATGAGTACATTTTAAGTCTTAAATCTTTTAAGATTTATGCTTAGTTTGTGTTTTGTAAATTAGCGCTATGTGTCTGCTTTCACAACTTGAAACAGCAAACGCTGTGAATTTAAGAACTTTGCTTACGACAAAACAATTCAGTGCATCACCACATCCTAATTTTAATTTGTCCGTGAAGGCTTTACAGATTCAGATCTGTGTTTACACGGCTTTATTAATGTGCCTTTACCTTGTTATACAACTTGTTTTTATAGAGACATGCTCACAAATACAATTCATAATGCAAATGCTGAACAGCTCTGTTTGCATACAAACCTTGGCAGGCTACGTATAATTCCCCCCCCCCCCCCCCCCCACCTGTGTGAAGGGCCACCTGTTAGATTGTGATTGAAAGAGCAAGACTGCGAACACTGCCGCACATTTAAGCAGATATAGTGTGTGTGTGTGTGAGGGGGGGGGGGGCCTGGCAGAGGTCTGTAGCCCCGGGCGGAAGCACAGCGGCAGAGAGAAGAGAAGGGGATGTATGGAGAATGGAGCAGGGGAAGAAAGCAAAACAAAGATAGATGCCAGCGTGCTGTTGTCATGCCAGAACTAATCCATTCAGCCGCTCGCCCGCTCCCTGCGTCCAAACAGAAAGAGAGGGTGGGAGGGCAGGGGGGGGGCTGCATGAGATGGGCCCTCTGGGAAACGGACCTTGTGCTGCCTGCTGTACTTGTGATTGACGGATAGAGGGAGTAGAAGAAGGAGAGAAGCAGGGAGATGTGAGGACACTGAGCTCTGAAGCTTCCTCTCCTCCCTCTGCGGGCAGAGTGCTGTATTATTTATGGCCCCCGGGGCGACCCGCTCGTCTCCCTGCAGGGGGTCGCCGGACAGAGGCGGAGCTGGCACACCACTGGTAAATAATTGAGTGTTGGGAATATTAGTTATTATAAGACAGGGCTTTATTTTCTCGCTTTGAATGCCCACTTAGAGGAAAGACTGGGCTAATGATAGAGAAGTGTCCTTCCAGTAACACAAATTGAATTTTACCAGCAACGTCTCTGCTTCTGAAATAACACGCCGATGGCGCGTACTTCCTGCCTGCGCTATAAAAGTCTGAGGGAATTACCACATGTTGAACACACTTCCTCATAGCCTGGTTTCATTCTCGTATCGCGCAGCCTCTTAGCGGATGGCTTCGTTTTATCTCTTTATTTACATATAAATCCCACAGAGAATGATGAATTGGTGATGTAGATTTTACCTCTGTGCCACAGAAGTACTTAATTGTCCAGAAACAGTCACAAACTGAATAAAGGGCGTTGCACTGGGTGAGTCATTTCGATGAACTCGGTCCTCTTCTGTCCTAACTCAACAGCACTATCTGCAAGTGAAGAGTAGGGTCATTGTCTACAACAGGGCCATTGTAGGAAAGGAAACAAGTATGGAGCCAGTGGACAGGAGTAATACTATTTAGAAGTTGGAAAAATAGTGGAGCACAAAACCTTTGTAATAAAAAAATAGCGTTTTGTTTTTTGTTAAGGAACCCATGGCTTCACTTTGCAAGGTTTGAATTAACCTCATCACACCACATATGCCACTGAACGCTGTGGTAACGTTGGCCGCCGAGTGCGAGATATATTATACTGTAGCGGACTCTCTCTATTCATCCTCTCATCTCAGCAGCAGGACCTCCCCCCAGGAAGCTAAGGACATAATTCCCCCTAATCTGTGCTTTAACACCAGCAGTTGTGCTGTGTGGTCTTGTTTTCCCTTCACACCGACACGATGATAATTGGGCACGGCCCCTTAAAGGCTTCAGTGCGTAACTGTGGTAACGCAGTGCGTTTGGAGTAACGTCTTCCCATAGTTTGGTTCGTAGTATTATCTGTGCTGAAATAAATGGCGCATGCCTTCGAGTAGTCAAAGATAGAAGCTGTTTGTCTCTATTTTCCTGTAACTTCTACAATATTAGTATTTATTCAAGTACATGAAAGAATATTAAAGAACATGTCTTGTGTATGTTTCAGGGCCGAGGTGCAGCTCGTAATGTAGAACCTGCGCATGTAGTAATTTAAATGTAATAAAAGTTTATGTGATCATTTAAATGTAATAAAAGTTTGTAATGTAGTAATCGGCACATGATTTAAGAGAACCATGAGCGCATGACATTACAACAGTTTGTTTAATGTAACAAGTTATTACATTATAAGAAAATAATAAATCATTATAAACAGACATTTTTGGGGGATTAAGTTTAATAAGTAATAAGTTTAGTGCATAGTGTAATCATTGCAAAGCATTTTCCTTTGTTTTGAGCTTGAGAACCCTTCTAACATGACATCAGACACATCATTCATCATTCAGTAGGAAACTGATGAAGCCTCTTAGATATTTGACATCCAGAGATTCTTGGCATATGAATTTAATTTAATCGTTAGCTGAACAAAAAAGTGCTGTCACTTCATGTGAACTCTTTTTTTTATTTTTATATATGCACATGACTCCACAGCTTTCCCCGCCATTCTTGCCAAAAATGTATATTGAAGATTCTTTAGCTGATGGTGTGAGAGAAACTGCTGCATCAGCATTATTAGGCTGAACAAAGCAGCTGGACGCACCGGTGGCCTTTCACACGCTGCTTTTTGGCCAAGATACCCGATGGATGAGGGCGGGGATTGTGCTTTGCCACGTATCGTTTGGATGGTTCCAAATAAAATACATATTTAATATTCGGCATATTCTTCCTTTCAACACTCCATTGTCTTAGTTTATAATGTATTGTGTTCCTCTATACTGTAAAGGTTTTGAACCTAGAATGGTGCAGAAGTTGACTAACATTCACTGAGTTTAAATATTCAGTATTGTTGGGTATTACTGCTGGTTGTAACATTTAGTTGTAGAAGCCAGTGGCCTTGCCTTCTGTGTGAAGCACCTTTTTATTGGCTAAGATGCCCGATGGAGGAGGGCTACATGATACATGGGGAAATGATTGGCAACTCTTTCTGTGATGCCCATGTATGTAATGCTTTATAAACATACTTATATATGTGTTATAAACTGCTTACAACACTGTATAGTTATACATATTCATAATGCTCTATTACTATAAACATAACATACTGCATGACATGAGGTCAAATATAATGTATTATAAATCCCATAGTTGTACATTATAATTAGTTATGAGACTATAAGTCACTATAACGGGTCACTGTTTGCTTTAGGTAAAGTAAAAATCATTTCTTGCACAGATTTAAATACATTTAAATACTTTACTTACAGCCAACAATTACCACTTTAAGAAACTTATCAGTTTATAATATGGGAATATAATAATAACTATGGGAATTATACGACACATGATCCTTTCAAAAAGAAAAGTCAGTTAGTGGTCAGTAATTATGATGATACTTGACCTTATAGGTCAATACAAAATGCTTCATGAAGCAGTATGAATTATGAGCGCTTAGAACTGTAATTGTACTATGCTTTAAGCAGATTATAGACATAAGCATTATAGAAAGTGTTGCCATCTAGTGATTTACATTGTATTTTCTAGTTTATTATGATCTTTTTTTGATCTACTGATTATTCTGCCTTTATTCTGCGATATATTATGTCCCTTAAGTTGTACGATATACACTGAGCTTGAGTTTCAGAGTTGTGTCTCTGTGTGCTCTTGTACATTTGGTTTGTTTGTGTTCCTGGTTACAACATGTCACAAAATAAACATTGGCTTAAGAGTAAATTATGTATCTAATGTCACGTATGAAGGGTTCCCAGACTTTAAAAAAAAAAAAGGAAAATTCCTTTTTTTAAATGCAAATACACGATGCACTAAAACTATTACATTATTCAACAAGTGTTTTTGCCTAGTTTTAATGTAATAATTTTCACATAATGTAATAACTTATTACATGTTATTACGTTATGCACTCAAGGTTTTCTTATGTGCTGGTTTTTTACATTGTACATTTTTATTTCATTTAAATTACTACATTATTCACAGTTATCACATTATGAGTTGCTACATCTTCGCCTCCCTAAGAGGCCATCCTTACCATAATAACACTAATTAAGGAGCAACGAAATTCAGACGGCTGGCTTCACCACAGTTTGTCATTACCCCGACCCCTGCTCTGTAATTATTATTTTTGTATTGCCTACAATGGTCCTAATACGCCGTCGTAGTTTTCTCATAGACTACAATACGATCAACTATTTGCAACCAGTACAGTCGCCCCCTCCTGGCCATTAGAAAGAATGCAAGTTTAAGGCACTTTTGCATTGGCATAGGTTTCGGCCCGCATATTTATGACTTTTATGACATTTTATGACCTTATGACATAATATACAAAGACTGATTTACTATATAAATCATCTATATGTACTATACTTTGATATTTGTAATACAATTTAATGGCATATAATATAATGTATATATTTGTTTTTAAACATACTATGACATTTCTATGCCCGCGGGCTGTAAGTTGAATATAACTGTACATACTATGTATTCTTAAGACATACTATACTATGACTATTTGAAGACATTTTATGACATTAGACCATGAATTTATATACTAGGCAAGGCAAGTTTATTTGTATAGCACATTTCAACAACAAGGCAATTCAAAGTGCTTCACATAAAATCATTAAAAGCATCAAAACATAAGGCAAAATATTCATTGAAATATTCATTAAACATTAACAGTCATTACAACACTAAAAAGCAGCGTAAGAAATAAAATACAAAATGCAAGAAATTGATTAATATCTTTGAATCTGTTTCAATTAAAAGCAGCAGCAAACAGAAAAGTCTTCAGTCTTGATTTAAAGGAGCTGAGGGTCTCAGCAGACCTGCAGCTTTCTGGGACTTTGTTCCAGATGTGTGGAGCAGAAACACTGAACGCTGCTTCTCCATGTTTAGTTCTGACTCTGGGAACAGAAAGCAGACCGGTCCCAGACGACCTAAGGGGTCGGGATGGTTCATAAGGTAGCAGCAGATCAGAGATGTGTTTTGGCACTAAACCATTCAGTGCTTTATAAACCAACAGCAGGATTTTAAAGTCAATACTTTCTTGGACAGGAAGCCAGTGCAGTGCTATACACACACTATAATTTTGTAATGACATACTATGGCATTTTACACTTTATATGACACTAGTGCCGTGCCAATTTGGAGCATGTGACCGTTTGAAGCAGTCCACTGACTCACGGAAGAGCTGTTGTTGGGGGATGTGACCTGGAAGTGAGGAATCGTTTGTTTGTAGAGTTAATATATCCAGCAGCAAAAGGGAACTGCAGTCAACGAGCCACGGCCTGTAAAGGCCAACTGTGAATACCATGCTGGAGGGCATATATATACAAATATATACACACACACACATATTGTAAGTGCTGATATCATGTGATCATATAAGGTGCAGCTGTAGAAATCAGATTATTTATGGCACCTCCAGCTCAGACTGGCTGCTGCGTGTGTGCGTGCGGATGTCAGCATATGTGCGAGTCATTACCATGCGGTCGCTCGCCTGATTCACTTTGAGGAAACTGCTCATTTTTGCTTCGAGCGCTGTTCATATGATTGGGACAGTCAAGACGACACTTGTGTGAGTCACCCCCCGAATCTCCATACGCAGCCTCTGTGCACCTGCCGTTCATAATTTTCATTCCAGTGAGGGACGGGTTTTATGGGAAACGTGCTGAATCTGTGTAAAATGTATCAAATACTCAACATTCATCCATTCAACAACAGTGGAAAATAACAGATGGAACTATACGACAGTTTAGGCATCGAACAAAAAAAAAAAAAAAAAAGCGCAAAGAGACAAAAAAAATGAAGATAGAAAAAGTCTTTCATTTTCAAGTCTTGACTCAACACCTCAAAGCAAGGCGCGTGTAATTTTAGCAATATGTGTGTTGAGCGAAGCGTATGTAAGATACTGTCAGCAGACTTCATGCTTTCATTTAGCAGCTGATAATGTGGTCAGATGTAACATGAAACTAAATAAAGCAATATGGGATGCGGCTTCCTTTATCATTCTATTTCATCTTCTTTAACATTTATAACAGATTTGGGGGTTTAGTCGTCACCGGCTCCAGAGTACATCCTCCCCTAGACGAGACAATGAACTGGCATTAAAACAGGTCCAGGTAAACTCATCTAAGGTTCCTTCAATAGGATTTCAAGTGTTCATACCAATTAATAACAAACACTGAACACTTTGTGGTGCATTCATGCACTAGTGTGAAGCTCAGACATCAGGTCCATCATCGGGATGTTTAATGTTAACAGTGTTCCATCCTCAGGAGATCAAACATCATTGTTAAAATGAATTTAGTAGCTTTTAGACTTTGAAGCTGATCTCTGTCCACTTTTGTTTGGTTTGAAAAACCAAAAAGTAAATTTAAAAAAAGGACTGCGAAGATGATACATTTTCTACAGCACTTGAATGCACCAAGTCACAGCAATTCACCATCGCACTTGATCATTCATATCGTCTGCCTGATTCATAGCCATTATTAGGCCGATGTGCATCTTGGTGCACAGACGGAGCTGCATAAGAATAATATGATTCGTCAGAAAGGCCACACCAACATACCGCACAAACAAAACTCACGCTCTACGAGCAAAACTAAACACTAACTTCTCTGCAGACGCTTCTTTCTCCATTGCAACATCTTTTTAAATCAAAATGTGTGAATTTTGGATCAAATCTTTTTCAGGATTGTCAAACAACCTCTTAATCATTAACATTCAAGTATTCCTAAAGTCACTAAGTACTAAACAACTGCTAGCTTTAAGCTACGTTGGGATTTTCTAGAAAAAAAAGATGCAAAAGCTGCAACAGTCATCAGAGGTACATGGGTAAATATTAACGTCGCAAAATTATAAAAAGCACCCAAAAATGTTTTGCTCATATACTGTAGTTTGATTCATGTTAGCGCGGTGTTCCCTTTTTGCTATGTTGTTGTATTTGTATGTTATAGCTGGGCTGTGCTCGAGCTCTAGAGCCTATCTTTGGAGTGTGACCTTTGTCCAAAACTTCCACATTGGGAAAATAATGACGACGGTTCCCTGTGCTGTGTTTTCTCCAGGTACAAGGAGTTGATGACGGGAAAGACCGCCAGAGAGATCATCGCTATCTTATGGATCCTCTCCTTTGTCATCGGCCTCATCCCCTTCTTTGGCTGGAACTTGAAGTACACGAGCTGCAGGAACGGCAGCTCTGGGGCGGACAACACTACGAGGGTCGGCGGAGACTTAGTACAGAGCTGCAACCTCAGGTGCTTCTTTGAGAGCGTGGTGGACATGCACTACATGGTCTACTTTAACTTCTTTGTGTGCGTGCTGCCTCCGCTGCTCATCATGCTGGGCATTTACCTGAAGATCTTCACTGTGGCCAGGAAGCAGCTGAGACAGATCGAGCTGAAGTGCGTGGGTAACGGGGACAGCCATCACCACGGGCTGCTGCAGAAGGAGATCCGGGTGGCCAAATCCCTCTCCATCATCGTGGGACTGTTCGCCGTCTGCTGGCTGCCCGTCCACATCCTCAACTGCCTCACGCTGTTTTACGAGGAGCTGCATAAGCCCGAGATTGTCATGTACGTTGCCATCATTCTGTCTCACGCCAACTCCGCGGTCAACCCCGTCATCTACGCTTACCGCATCCAGGACTTCAGGAACACCTTCCGAAAGATCCTGACCCAGCACGTCCTTTGCCGCAGGGAGGAGCTGTACGTCAGCTCCAACAGCAGCAGAAGCAACAGAGAACAGATCACCATGACCATCGACCCTCTGCCATAGAGAGAGCCGGCACTGAGGGGAGTTTCATCTGCGTCGACTCTGATGTTTCGGTCTTGACTTTAATTTCCACTGAGGTTTATATGTTTACAGAACGAGGGTGATATGTGAAGAACCGATGTCAAATGCGAGTTGAATGTGGACATTTATTTATGAATCAGGGGTCAGGCAGTGTGATGTTGAATGGCAAGTCTTACGTAACCCTTTGTATTGTGAAGGATTTCAGATTTAAAAAAAAATGTTGAAGCTAACTGGATTTGTAGGACTGTGAACCGGATCCAAACTACATTCTATAATGCTATTTATCATTCTGAATCCCCTGTTTCAACTCCAAACACTCCCTTTGCCTTGCTATTTTATACTGTCAGTGTTTATTAATTTATTTAAAGATCAAAAAACATCATGTGGCTAGAACTGTGCTTGTGGACCTGGAGAGGCACAATGGTAGTAATCTACATCTGTGGTTGTTTTTGGCTCGTGGCCCTTTCATGAATTCATACTGCATCATTCTACAAAAAGATTTTCTGTATCAATACTTTTATTATAGCAGAGATGTTCTTCAGCTGTTGCTTCAACTATGCCAGTGTTGTCCTGCTGCTGCACTAGTAAATCCTCCACAACGTAATGTTTGTACAGGCGGAGGGACACGCTCTTCAACAGAGGGATCACAAACGACAAGGACCCTCATACATACTTAATTAGAAGTAAAGGGGGGGAGTGCTTTTGCTTGACAAAACAGAAATGCTTGATCCCATGAATCATCTCCCATCCCAAAATGACCCCTGTGGCTAAAAGCATTGTTGTGGCGACTAAATAAACAGCAAGATCTGGTTCAGTCTAGCAGACCCAGACATAAGAAGTAGTTTAGCAAAACACACCTGCGGCGGCGGTGCTCCATATAATTTCCATGTTGACGTTTCTTCAGACAAAAGCTCAGGAAGTGGGAAAATGATTGTACCCTTTATAAAAAAAAAAAAAGATGGCATCTGCACAGAGACATTTAGCTTTGAGCAATCACATGTCACATTTGATACATTTTTTTTTTCCCCATCATCCAAGCTTCTGGCCCACATGCATCTCGTGGCATACATCGCATAAAGCACCATTGACATTGACCCCCCCCCCCCCCGTTCCCTCAGACTTAGCTGGGATCCTGAGGCTCTCATACAGTCAGACCTCCAAAAAGCTGCTGAAGTCACTGACTGAACTCAGATGATCAGTTTCATTTGAGAAAACATTCCTGTTTAAAGGGTGAAACCTCTAAAATATGTTGCACTGAGGACTCAATTCGCTTTACTCTTTAGCGCTACTAACAGCGCTCGCAAAGATAGGCGACCAGTCCAGCTGAACCCCCAAAAAATAGTATGTCATTTTGAAGTAGGTAACAATAATGAAATGTTTTCTGAGAAGCAAATTCTTACTTCTTTGCACTCGACGGTGCTCGTACGCAGCATCATAGTTTGAGGCAATACAGCTGCAGCACTGCTTTCCACCGTGTCTAATGTTAAAGCACCTTAAAGTGCGTCGTCTCGTCTCTTGATTTCGCAGCGGTCGGCAGTATTGTGAATGGTCCTGTTGAGCTTATAAAACTGAAGAAATTGGCGTAAGGTGACAAAAACAAATTGAATTAAATCAGAGCAAAGCACAGTGTTGTTTGGAGTATTACTTGTGAAAAAAAAAAAAAAAATGAGGGTCACCTCAGAGCCATCACTACACAAATGAAAACACATTGCACTGACATTTTCGATTATTTCCTGTTTGGTGTGCTTTATTGTTGGTGGTGAACCATGTCATGTTGGTGTTTTAAGAAGTGTCGAGCACCACTGCTTCACTATCGCCCGTCATGTCCAGTATACCACCTCTAACTAACTCCAAGGGCTAAATACGGGAGTGTGCCAAAGTTTTAGTACATTCCAATGGAGACATCTACACTGTAACTGCACTGTACTGTTGTGTCATTGTCTTTGTTGATTGACGTGTAAAAAATAAGTACTGTAGGTGTCCAACTTTCTACAAGCTATTGATCGATGTCAAACAATTGCCTTCTTTTGTGATTTTAAAAAAGGTAAGATGGACGATAAGTTGATCTCGTTTCAACATTCCTGCCTTTCATTCCGAAGTACCTATCAGTCTGTCAGTATGCTATAGTGTTGTTGTACTAATCAGGAGAAACATCCACTGTGGTCACGCTGATGTTCAAACTGAGAGGCCATTCTTTCTTTCTTTCAACACAACTGCAACTGCGAACGGATACTGCTATTTAACATGATGCAACCTGTATGTATGGTGGATTATTTTGTTGATAAAGGCAATATTTATATTGTTACAGATCAGTCTGTATTCCTTCATTTCAATTTCATGACTATTTATTTCTACAATCGCCACAAAGGAAACATGCAGACATGCACTACTTCCCTAATTGATGCAGCTCCAGATAAAAAGGAACCTAAAAATAAAGCCGCACATACTCAATGAGCAGCTGTGTGGTTTCCCTGGAAACAGATTAAGAACCCTTCCAAAATAAAAAATAAATAAAGCAACATCTGGTGTCTTTCAGCGAGACGAATGAAAGAGCAGAAACCGTGGTAGAGTTCCCGTGCTCCGATCCTCTCCGCGGTGACCCAAAGTGTCCAAAAACCATCGTCTCTCTCTCATCCAACAGGGCCCACGACGACGCGCCGGTCCTCCTGCTGCACTGAACGGACCTCACGGGGCTGCCGTCCCGCCAAGCAGCGCGGACATCTGCTGATCGGACACGCTCTCCTGCCGAGTCCAACCCGTGGCCTGGCACAGGTACACGGCCAGGATGTGTTTGCACTGCGGAGAAAAGAGTGCGGACTCGTTACGTGAACGTGGGCTGTGAAGCCCGTGATGCCCGCTTCAATAACTTAAAATTCAAAGTTCTCATGTAAACACCAGACTAGAGAGAAGCTGCTTGGCTCAGACACGCTGGAAACTTCCCACCGAGCAAACTTCAATCCAGGAATATTAGTCACAAGGCAAATGCCACAACAATTTCCAATAATTACATCAAATTATAAACATTTCTAAAAATGAAAAGCGCAGTGGTCCAGCGGGTTGTTATGACTGTGTATTATTTTCCAGATGGAGTGTTTGTGCAATGAATGAGATCCTAACTTGTGACGTTAAATATGGGGTTCAATGACAGTGCAGTTCTGCATCTGTGTGCATGTGTCACCGAACGCGTTCAGAAGCTCCTCTCATTACTATTAACGTGTTAATCATTGACTTGTTTTCACCCTCAGCCTATTCAATGCATTAGAAATGAGATTTCCTCCACAGTGACACGCCGGTGGATTAGTGTTTTACATAAACGATGAGCCAAAGGGCGGCGAATAGGACAACGGTACAGAAGTTTGTTTACTAGCTTCTCCTATCGACTCTTGTTTATTAGCGCTGTCTGCTGTTGGTGGGAGCGCTCCGTTATCTGTCCTACTGGTCAGAGCAGTATGGACCTTGTTTGGCCTTATCCAGTCATGTTGGACTCTATAGAGCGGCTCCAGCGGGGGGG